AGTGCTGCTTTTATCTTTGGCTATTGCTGTGGATTCACGAATAGCTGAGAGGATGGCATTCTTGATGTCATGTATACTTATTTCTAAAAAATTCTTTATTTTTTTATTTTGTTCAAAACAATATATTTTAATATGATTTTGAATGTAATTTCTAAAAAAGGTTTTGGGATTATGAATGTATGCCCAGTAATCATCAAAATTTTCATTTTCTGCCAGGGAGAAAAGAACGTGTTTCTCCAGGTTAGCCCTGTTTCCATTGAATGCTGGGCAGGTAGCTCGCATATCCCCAGCAATTTTAGGGACCATTTTTTTTGAAATCATGTTGTGGACAGCAGGAGTGAGTTTTTCCAAAAGAAATTCAACAAATGTTTTGATTGAGGTTGCTCCTTGACAAGAGATCTTAAAACCCATGAGGAAATCATCTTTCTTGCTTTCCAAATAACTTACAGGATCATTTGCTTTTTTGAATGCCCTATGCATCTCTTTAAAATTCTCAGATGCTCTTTGGAATAAACACAAAGATAAGTCAATTTTGTACTTACTTGTAAATGTGTATCTGTCTTTAGTGGGTTCAGATTTCACCTCCTCATCTATTATGCTCAGGATTTGATGGAAATAACTTGAGTTGTAATCACATTGTTGCCTCTGGAGGTTTTTAATATTTTCAGTGTATCTTGAAATAATGTGGTCAGTAGTCCTCGTGATGGACTCTTTATCATATACTTCAACGTTCCTTGTTAATAAGCCAAATCTTTTGCTCATTTTGACATGTTCTTCGTAATTGACTTCAAACTCCTTTTGAGATTTTTCCTTCACTCTATTCACCATGTTTGTCTCCTTTTTAAAATGTTCCAAAAGGATGTCTTCAGAATCCACATCAATGTTAGGCTCTGGGACTGAAGGAACAGTTGAGGACACACCATAGACCCAGTTTTCCCAAAGGTCACTGAATCTGACATGAAGCTCATTCTCACTTAATTCTTTATCCTTTAGAGTTAAAGCCAATTCTCGGCTTTTTTCCA